GCGTACTGCATCTCCAGCATCTAAATCCAGCCTGTCACCTCATAGCATTTAGGGGTCTCTGCACCCGAGTCATCGTAACTGAGCTATCTCACAGCAACCCTGGCAGCGGGGCCCTCCTGTCCCATCCCTGGGAAGATTTGGAATGCAGGATTAGGACTTTAAAAACACCTTACAATACTAGTTCCGAGATTTCAGCAAATAGGGCTGATTATTCACATACATAATGTCATTTCCGAGTCTTGCGGTATCCTGGGTTTGTAACTAGAGTTCTACAGTCTTTTGATACTGGTTTTGGAATTATTGTTCTGAATTTGTTGTCAGCACAGTGGCCTTAATTTTTATTTCATCAGAGACTAAACCTGATCAAACATAGTGAGCTTTACTTCTCTGAATATAGCCATATACATTTTTTTTTAGCATGACTAGAATTTATCGCTATTACAGATAGTAAAACAGTAATCCAACTGGAGCTTCAAGCCTGAAAAACTCCTTTAATTCATGTAGGTAAATTAGCATCATAAAGGAATATTCCCTCTGCTTTAATTCTAGATTGGACCCAAAAGTTGACAAGGGGTTACAAATTTCAAAGTTTATCTGAATTAGAAGCTTCCAGGTCTTCTAAAAGATGCCCATAGGCATTTACAGGAAGATTTCTAAATGCATTTGTGCTTTAAGGAAGGAGAAATGAAAGTGCCAAACCCATCATTTGTCCCCGATTGCTTTCTTAAATCACAGCATGGATCCTGGAGCAACCTCTCAGCCTGTCTATAGTTTTTGATAATTACAGGGACTAAGATGCAGACTCACTGTGAATGGGAAGACTCCACGTTCAGCGCTGCGTCACACGACCAAGAGCACACACACATTGTACCAAACAAGGCAGAGGTTGCTCAGCTCCTACACTTGATGTACGCCTGAGCCGGTAACAGCCTAACCATGGAAATGTGCCTGTTACCCTCCCACTAGGATTTTTGCCAGAGACTTGGTTAACATTCAGCATGTATAAAAAAAATAAATCCATTTTAGAATTCTTTTCTCACATAGGTGGGATGGAGGGATGACAGGTTTGCTTTGTCATGTTGGTTTGGGTTTTTTGTCGGTGGTGGTTTTAGCTTCTATTTGTATGCCTGCATTTAGGAGAAATGTATTAGGCATGAATTCTTTTCCTACATAGTTCCAGATTCAGTTAATTACAAGCACAAGTAATGTTTGTACATCTCGATGGCTGATATTCTCACCATAAGCCAGCAATTTAAATGCTGATGCAAATGAAGTGAAATGAGTTTACTTGCAGCCGTAAGCACTACAGTGGAAAAAACTGCAACAAATGTTTGATTGTTGTTGCTGACCTTTCTCCTCTTATGAAAAATGTTTTTCTTTTTCCAAGAATATAAGGCCATTTGTTTTACTACCCTTGTTTAACAGAACCTGTGAATTATTCTTCTTTTATTTTTATATAGGCTGCTCTTTCATGGCAATTGATTTTTTTCATGGCAAATTAAGTATTTCCATAGCCATTTGTTGTTAATACCAGTGTTACCAACTAACCTTTCCTGCCTGTGACATCCTCCTGGGAAGCTCCACCAAACTGCTTCCTCTTAAAACAATTCCTACTTCTTGACATACATCTGAAATACTTCAGATTTATTTGCAGTGAAGCGAATCAGACAAATTATATGAGCGTAAAATGAAAAGATTGACTGACAAAGAAAATACAACACAAAATGACACGCTGTCCTCATTCTTACAATAACTTCAGAGGTATAATGCAACCTAGAAGTGAGAATCAGTACAGAAATGCTCCTAATTACATTCCTGAGTCGCCCTGAATTAAGAGGACTTAATTCACCATTGCTGAAGTTCTAAAGACAGTTTAGAGGTTTGTAAGGCCTTGATATCAAAAGAAGTATTTTCATTACTGATATACTTACTCTCATAACCAAACAATCTATGCACCTGAAGGTCTTTGGCAGCTTTTATCTTCACGACACACAGAGGACTGACAAGGACATTTGGTTTTACAGGTAGAGAACGGAAGCATAAGAACATACCTGGAGTCATGGGGGAACTTCCCTCTGAACTAGGAATTTCAGCAGGTTTACGCACATCAAGCGTCTTTTGCTATAAACTCTACTTCCTACCACTCCTTAATCGCCATCTAGAAAAGGCCTCTAGAAAAACATCCATGCTGCCTTCCAGATATCATTACGTTTTGTTTAGACATACCCAGCCCAGTTTCAAACCAGCCAGCAGGGATACAGGAACCTAGTAACAGCAAGTTCAGTATGAACAAAGACCACCAAAAAAGCACAAAATATGCACCATACAGTACTTGCGCAGTGCTTTTGCTACACCAGAGATAGCACCCAAGCTAACAAAAGCTTGCTTGACATGTATGTGAAGTCATACCTTTGACCCGCCCTGTAGACCAAAGATTGCTAAACTGATCGTGTAGACATGTTATGCAGTAGCAGCAAGATGTATTATTGAGAAGCTCAATAGAATTCTTTCTTCTGGGCATCTGATCATTAAACTTCACTTGATTCAGATAGATTCTGTCCACTCTGATGATTATTCTGCGTGGGTTTTATCGTCAGTTAAAAAAAAAAAAATCAGAATCACTTTAAAGACTTTTTGAATACCCTTAGACCAGTCTTTGTTTCTTTCTGCTGAGAGGACAACTGCAATTGTAGGCAGATTATTTCCAGTAGTGGCATGGGCCTTTCCATCACCCTCCTAAATGGGACCTCTGTTTTGAAACATTCTTTACCCTGGGGTCAAATAGAGCTAGTGTATGTCTGCCAATCAGTTTGGATTTGAGCATTTTTTGATAAAAGGGAGAGTTCCATTCTTTGTATTAACAACAAAACAGTGAATAGCGAGTGCCCTGAGCCACCTTGCAGACAAACAGCTGAATGCTCCGCTTACAGACAAAACCAGCATTTACATTGTCTGCCCCATTCACCCTCTTTGCGTGTTCGAAGTTTCAGTGAGCCAAGTGAGCATGTCCTTGGTCAGGGTACAAGCTGAGTGAGGAATCAGGAGTCCCGTTTTCCCATTTAATTTTCAGCAAATAGCACTCATTCTTGGTGGAATTAGTTGCTAAACAACATACTTTAAAATGCACAAACACCATCACAGTTTACTAAGGTCTATTCAGTGGTTTGTAATGCGATACATGAAGGCAGGCTAAGGCTAGATGGATTCCAGAGTTGCTAAAGCATTTGACTCACTCAAAACATGTGAGGACTTGCTAAACTGCCTTTTCCTCTCAGTCCGGTATTCTCCAGGGTGGTATCCTGCTATCTGCTTTTCATTCTTAAGCTGTTTACTTTTTTCTTGGGTGGCAGCAGTGCCAACCCCAGCAGATTATAGCTTGTGGCCAGCAGCAGTCAGGTATACTTTGTAGAATTTCTTAATTTAGCTACTAACTTCGGCAGAGAAACCTCCAATTTAGTATCTCTGCTTCTAAGGTTCCTTCTTTCATCCACACCTCCATGCTACTTATTTTCCCTTCTCAAATAATGAACCCTCCTCAAGGAGAGGAGGACAAATATCCAAAGGGTTGATTTAACACAGTAGCTATGTCATACTTCATTTCTCTACAAAACACAGCAGCAGCATCGAAAGATCATTTCTTATAATTGCTAGTGGAGCTGCTAGACCCTTTCAAGACAAACACAAACTGTGGTGTAACTTCATAAAAATTTCAATGATTTAGAACTTTCTAAAGATTTAAACACACCAGAAAGATTCTGGCCTAACTTTTCAACCGCATGAAGTCAGAAGGACTTTGATTTCTTTGAACTATACAGGTCGCATCTTTTAAAAGTTTCCTTTCAACAAATTCTAACGTGCACGCTCACAACGACCTCTGAAAATGAACCATAACATCTATGTCTATATGCAAGTATGAGTGCAAACCAGATACCTGAGGTCTAGATGCAATTCCCATTATGTGGGTGTGAGAATTTTTCCCTAACCCCACGGAGCACTGAGTCAGTCCTCTGCATTACCATATGAAGTGGGTGTTGGTATGGGTGTGAGAGCATACATAAACTTAAATAATACTTTTCTTGATCTCCCAGATAACTATATGGGGTTTATCATCTTTGATTTATTTGGGGTTGTGTTTTCTCTTTCTCTCTCTCTCCATCTACCACCCCCCCCACCCCCCTTTTTTTTAATGCCTATCCAGGATTTTTTCTCCTCTTCTTCCACCTGTGTATCTAGGAGTGTTTAGAGTCCAGACTAAAATAAGCCCATAGTAAAGGTTAATGATTCTTCAGTTCGTTTTGCTTCTGCAAAATGATTAATGATTAATTTTCACATTATGATAATATTGCGATCATCTTACATAAAAATACATTTCAGTATATTAAACAAATACTATTCTGTGAGAAGTGCAGAAATATGGCACATGGTCATTACATTAGTTTCTTTTACAGCCCTCCAAGAATATTCATCCTCCTCATTCTAAAATGTTTAAATTTTACCACTATAATCAGTACCTTTGAGCAGGGTCCTAAGGGCAACTTGCAGAGCTCAGGTCCAAAGTGTTAACTGCTTTTACATTCATTTTTTTTTTCAGCTTTTACTTTCATCCTGAATGCATTTTTCTCCACATCTCAGTTCTGACGTCTGTTATACCTTTGTGTTTCAAAAAAGAGGATATTCTCACTAACAGATAAAAGGCCACATAGTATCCTATTATTGTAGCCCCACAAATCTGAGTTCAAATAGGGGAAAAGCCACAGAGTTATTCAGACTCCTCAAGCAGTCGCAGAGAAAGACATAAATAATGCTTCTCTGCCAGCCTGTATTCAACTTTTCTGGCCTGCTTACTTTATAGGGAGAACAGGTTTCTATTATTATAGACTTTGGTGTAATATCGTGGATCCTAGCACATATTCTATAGAATAAGTGAAAACATCAAACAATTTTTTCTGTCAGGGTTATAGACCATCATTACTCTACTGCAGGGGGGTTGGACTAGATGACCTCTAGGGGTCCCTTCCAACCCAAAACATTCTATGATTCTATGATTTGTAACTGGCTCAGATCACCCAGTTGCAACTATTCTGACTGATCTCAGCAACCAGTTGCAGTCATCAATTTCTGACATGGATTTAAAAACAATGGAAGACATCAAATATAGAAGGTTTTGAAATTTGCTTATGTTTTTTTTTTTTCCTTTAAGTTAAAAAAAGTTTTTCCAAAAATGATCCCAAAAAGAAAAGGTAGATGAACCAGGGGACTAAAGCTATATGGCACTCACCTACACCATGAGAGATCCAGTTCAAGTCCCAGTACAGAGTTAGATCTGGACTTGATTCTAGATCTTCATGGAAAAGTAACTTCCCAACTACTAGGCTAAGACCCAACAAATACACACTTATGCAGAAAGGAAGTCTTGACTAGAAAGAGGAAAAAAACCAGGATACAGGACACCTGCTTAAGTCACTGCCTTAGCCACCAGAGAAAAGACTTGGACTGAGATATTTACCTTAAGGCGTGCTTTAACTGGGCATAGTGTTCTCCCTCTCTCACATACAGAGAGATTAGATATTTTATCCTGGACCTTTTTGTCTAGAAGTGTTTCGTCAACCACCTCAGTGCTAAGAAAATAAAAACTCTATTTAGGAATAAGATGCCTTAAACATTGTACTCAGCTTTAACATGCAAGAACCACATAACATAGATTTAACATAAAAGAAAAGGTGAGGGGAAAGGTGTGACCCCTTTCAAATGACGTACAAGGCTACAACAGAAATCAAGACCCCCAAAGAAATTTTGACTCCTGAGCTTCGATCTCCCTTTTACATAATGATAAAGGTTTTTAGAGAATAGTTATCCCATCAACCAAGTCTTAAATAGCAAGATACTCTTGGCCTGCACTGCTAAAATCTAACAGAGATAAGTCAATTGCTGAATATCCTGCTGTCTTAGAGAATATCTAAAGTTAGTGTATTTAGTATTCATAAGAGGTAGGCTTGTAGCCTTTGCAAAACAAAGCTCTCCTTGACAAGACCTGGGTACAACCAAGGCTCCTCCTCTAATAAATAGACCCTTAAAACTGTTTCTTAGCATTGGAAATCTCACCTAATTGCAATCTTAGAAAGCGACTGCTGTTAGCACCTGATGCGACAGGAATCACACGTATGAGAACTACCCAGTTTCCTCTTGCAAATTCATTGGTAATACTTGTGAGGATATTACTTGAGCAAACTGCAAACATGAACCTTCCCAGCTGCTTCTCCTGGTGCACTGAACAAGTGGCTTACATGACTGCTATTCTGCTGAAAAGGAATGCTTTCCAGAAACAATATTTCAGCACTTTTCCCAGAAAATTAAGTACACAAAATGGCAATGAGTGACTAAGAAGGACAAACGTATGTGAGGAGCCCTAAAAACTTGCTAGTATTTTTAAGTCTGCAGCTACCCAAGCTCTGGTCTAGCGTATCAGGAACGCTACAATAACACCCACCCCACATCAGCAATATCTTGCATTTTTCAATCAAGATTTTTTCCCCTGAAGAATCAAGCTTCAGGCTGTCAGTGAAGCACTGCTACGCCTGTTTTACCGAAGTGAAGAACTCTGAAATCCCAGAACCCAGGTTCACACATGCAAAACTGTGGAGAACTGTCTTGGCACCGTGGAGCTGCACACACACACCCCCCTCAGAAAGCCCCTTCATCATCCTGGGTGTTGGTAAATTCTTTGTGCTCAATCCCAGACAGACTGGAAAACCACAAAGCATCAGACTTCAGTCTCCCGAGCATCCTCCCACTATGCAGGTTGCTCAGTTTTCAAAATCCACACAATTACGAAGTTATCGTGTCATAAAAGCAGCTTGCAAAGCACATCACTATTATGATTTCTAGCTGTACTAATTTTCATATTAAAAAAATAGTTAAGAGCTAATGTATCTACAAGAAGTACTTGCAAATGCCATTATTATTTTACCAAAAAAATGATACCTGTTCTACCCCTCAGAAACACAAATGCAATTTGATTTTCAGTGACAGAGGCGATTCTTCTGGAATTGTAGCTTCGAGTTATAGATTGACTAGAACTATCCTCCATGGGGGATCCTTCCAAATACAGTTTGGCTACATATATTAACATATAGCATATGAGGTGATGTACTCTAGCCCTTTAAGTACTACCAGTTACAAGAACATTCTTCTGACTTTCTTACAACAAAAGAATTTGCTTCTTTTCGTCACGTGTACAAGTAGACATACGAAATTAAAAGACAAAGAATCCTGGTGTCTGCATACTAGATTCCTGTGTCTTAATTACAAGGGCGTAATCAATTTCTCAAGACAATGTAAGAGAGAAAAATTTGCTTAGAGATGAGGAAATGCTGTGGGGGCTTATATTCCTTACCTATTCCCTCCCGAAAAATAAACTAGTTTCAGTCACTGTTTTCAAAGTAGGCTCAGAAGGAATCTATGGCAGGGAAAAAAAAAAAAAAAAAAAAAAAATACTATTTCATAGTATTCCCCAATGCATGTGAAATTATAAGCTGATCTCATATTTGAGTAAAATTTGTCGGAGTAAGTAGAACCAACCCCACTAATGTCCATATTCACAGCGTATTGAACCTGCAATGTTGTTCTCTGCCTGGTATTAAATCAAAGGGAATTGTGATTGCAGACTGGAGAAGGAAATTGAGGCTCTGGAAAGAGAGGAAATGGAAGTCTCAGCTAAGGAAGAAGCAATTTTAAAGAAACTTAAGTCTGTTGAGAAAACAACAGAAGACATAATAAAGGTTAGTGCCAAATTACTCCAGAAGTAGAATTCATTACTTGTTCATCATAACAACCAGGGAAAGGGGAACCAGCTGGATCCTGCGAGTGGTCATGAGCTTTTGTCTAAAGTGGCAGCAGGTCAAATACAAGAGGGGCCAAGATGTGATACTGTTCAAGTGCCCAAATGTCTCCATTTGCTTGTTTATGGGGGTGGGGGAGCAATTGCTATCATTACTCGCCTATAGCACATTGCAAAAAAGATAGCACTGCCACTGACACCAACCAGAAACGTTGCATCTTGGCCAGAGGCGGACATAACAGGGACAGAGGCTGACTGTCAGACTATTCAGACTAATTCAGGTGATGTGCCCAGCT